CTGATCACTGTTTCTCAATTTTGGTTGTTCTTTAGCATTACTTGAGGGAGGGGAGTTTCAAAAACAATGCTGACCAATACATCCCTAAATTCTAATTTCACTGGACTAGGATGTAGAATATATATGGGTTAAAGATTCCCCAGGTAAATTCTGGCATACCTATGACTTAAAACTATGTTTTAAGCTCCTAATTATTTAAGTGTGCATTACTTGTTTCAGTGCAGCAGGCATTACTTTCTCTTTGGCATTTTTAATCTAGCTAGTACTGTCACTTGACTATGCAAGAGTTTTGCTTCTAAACATGAGCTGGAGAAAAGGGAGAGGGTGGTTTGGGGGTGAGGCATGGTTGAAAATGTTGAAAGGGGTAACACTGATAAAGACACATTGTATTCAAAAACTATTTACTATGTCCAACTATTTAAGTATAAAAAATTTAAACTATGAAATCTGTCTTCACAACCAGATTTAAGTAATAGATCTAGTTGTTTCATAATTTTAAATAGCAGAGCAATAAGGAGTGTATGACTTAGTATAGCTTAGAAAAACCATTTTTGACTTTTGTCATTACCTTAAAAATATTTTCAAGAAATATGATGAATTGAAAATAATCTTGAAGATTTTCTATTGTATAATTTATGTAGCACTTTGGCAAAAATTTTCTTAGCTAACAGACTATCTTCTATCTAATAGTTTACTGAATTAAGACTAATGCCATCAAAGCATGCAAATGGTAAATATGTAGGACCTTTTATAAGAAAATGCAGCGATTGTAAATGTGGTCTGTTTTATTAAAATTGTAAAGATACAGTGAAATTATCACAGTTTAAATTCTAAAAAGGAAACAGGACTTAAGAAAGGCAGGAGAGAGCTCGCTAAATTGAAACTTCAAACAGGATACAAAAGGAGTTAACTGATGGCATTATCATCTTGACATCTCCAGGTGAAATACACCATTATGCTTGCTGAAAGAATTTGAAGATTAAGACTAATCTTAGAAATATGTTTCTAAGACATATTCCCCAAGAAAAGAGCTGAGATTCATAAAATTCATAGAATAACTTAATTAGAAGATATCTTACAAAATTATAAATGAACTCCCTAAGTATTTTAGTTTTAAAAAGTGTTTAGAAAGTACATGTTCCCTTATTTTAAAATCAGTGAACAAAGTTTGGCCTTAATATCAAGTGTAAATTAAAATTTCACTTCTTGTTCATTTATTTACTCAAAAGAGTTATCAGATGAAATGAGAACAGTATATACATAAATATACTGATATATATATACACAGATATATTATCTATGTAGATATACAAAGAATGAAATATTTAACTATGACAAGTTTGGTACTAAACTATGAACTTGGTCTTATTCATCTTTGTATCTTTCAATGCCAAGTACTTAAAAGGTACTCAGTAAATATGTAGTGAAATGAAAAGGACTTTTTTTTTTAACATGCTAAATTCCGGTTGCCCTACGTGTAAACTCATATTCAGGGGCACAAACTTCCTTGGCTATAATGATACAAACGTTAAGATGAACAATGACAGATATTAAGAAAGGAGGGAAAAACTGTTAAGAGTTGATTCCTCAGGATGTATCTTATGAAAGATGTAAAGTATAGAGTCACAGAATTTGAGAGCTACAAAGGACCTTACATAATACTTCATTAAAAGAAAAATGTCGCATGACCATAGAGAATTAAAATATGTCAAGTGATTTCACATAAAGCTCTTATGGTTTGACAAACCTTCATAGTTCAGAGGCATTTGAAGCTGTTTTGAAGGAAGAAAACTAATCAGAGAGGTGGATGGCATTCAAAAAGTTTCACTACATGAACAAAGCCCAGATTTAGACAATTTAGAAAGAAATGATACAGTAAGAACAGTCCTTACATATGTAAAAACAAGTTTAAAACTTGATCATTTAAAGCTCAATTAAGGAATTTAGACTAAAAGGATTTTAAGAACTAATAGCTATTAAGACACCAGTAAAATAACAAGGGATAAATTACCTAATCATTTTTCATTCCATTTTTTTTAAAGCAACAAGTACACAAATGGACTAAGAACATTCAAACTTACTTACATATTCTGCCTTAAAATTTTTTAAAGTATCAAGATTTACTAATTCTAGACAGTACACAGAAGTGATGACTCATTTATATACTTTTGAGCTGATAGTTTTTAAAACAAAGCAGTTTATGTTTTTTTTTGTGCTGGTCATTGGGCATGAACTTAGGGCCGGTGGAGTCCCTGAGCTTTTTGTGTTCTTTGCTGTATAACTTGAGCGATAGCTCTACTTCCTGCCTTTTGCTGGTTAGTTGGAGTTAAGAGTCTCATGGACAAGAAGTTGCCTGGACTGGCTTCCAAGTGTAATTCTTAGCTCTCAGCCTCTTGAATAGCTAGGATTATAGGCATGAGCCACCAGTGCCCAGTGTGGAAGTTTAGTTTAAACTTAAAATTTCTAAGGTAAAATGGAAAAAAAAAAGTACAGCAGGTGGCTTATCACAAGATTCTTTCAATCACAACTGAAATCAAATGGAAATTATTCAGGAAAGAAATCTTAGATCCCACTCTACAGTTGTCTACACTTATAAGTGCTAACAGATTAAAAAAGCTTTTCCTAAAGCATTAAAGCAGTAATTAAAATTCATCTAGAAAGTACATCTTTTGAGAGTTTTCCTAGATTTACTTTTTTTAAGTTGAATCCACCAACCATTTAAATGTTAGCAAAAATATCCTATATAAACAGTATGGATTATGTACCTGAAATTTATCCAATTATATGGCATTATATAGTGTCAAGTTTTTATTAAGCATCAGAATCATTCAGCACTAAGATAAACAAAATATCACAGATTTTAGTTCTCTACCATGGTCTGTCAATGTTAAGTCTAATGAAAGTGTCTCAGAAATCGAAATTTATTTTATACTCTCAATCATATGTCTCTATTTTTTTTACGGGAGAAGCAAGGAGAAGAACAGGCTTGCTACTTACTATAGATTTAGGAAATAAGCTAGATGGAATTCTCCATCTCTTGTTATCTACTGTTGATAATGAAATATTGTTTGTACTAGATGACCTTTAAGATTTCTTTAGGTCACGTCCTTTTACTATTCTATAGCTCTTGAACCTGTGATGCTTATCCAGAAAGAGAAAGCAGCTTGCAGTAGTAGTAGGTCTGACAGCACCTGGTTATTTACTGGCCCTGCAAGTGAATCAAGTTATTTAATCTCTGAGGCTGTTTCCTTATATATAAAGGGGAGTTAGTAACATCTGACAAGTTGTCAGATGGGACTGGAGATTGTATGTCAAATGTATAGCCAAATGCTTGAAACACTTCTTTTCATCATATAGGCAGAGAATATCTTACTGTAGTTCTCCCATTCTTTTGCCAAGATTAAGGAAATACAGGGTCAACTGTGCTACTAAAAATTGAGGTAAAGGAAAAAAAGGAAAGAAGGCAAAAGAACACACTCACATTTCAGTACCAATCTGGCAACACGTATGAGAAAATTATTTTTGCTTTCTAAAAGAGAATGCTGTTGCTATTCTATGACACTAAAGAACAGATTGTTTATAACCCGTGTTGTGAAATTGACATCTGCTCACAGATTTGCTGAGTTGGCGCAATGTGAGTGATGACTGTAGTAAGTTGTCCAAGTTCCTTACCACACACACTTCCTTGATTACGGCATCTTGAGAAGCAGTGAACTTTTCCCTTGACAATGCACTTGAAAGAAACCACTGTGACCATGGACACAACATCACGAAATCTCTTCGTCTCCCTTGGCTTTACCAACAGGGCTTCCCATTTTGGGGGAGAAGGAAGAGCTCCCCTCCCCTTAATTCTAGGTTTCCCCAAGTCCTGGGCAAAAAGGTCTGGATACCAACAGGCGATCTCCATTTCCTCTAGGGGCTGCCAAGTCCAGGGACGGGTCTTTTCCTGGGGGATTGGGGCCGCTGGTGGGAGCTGTGTTGGCAGCTCTCGGGTTGAGAGACAGGAAAAGGAAACTCCCTCCTCGGCCTCCCAGCCGTCGGGAGGAGATCCGAGGGAAGGGTGGGGGCGGCACAAGCAGGGAGGGTGTCCGTCTCGGTCCCCTCCCCGGTCCCGGGAGGGCGGCCTCCCCAGGGGGTGTCGCCCATCCGCCCCCCAGGGTGAGCTCAAGGTGTCCTCGCGGGGTGGAGGAAGCCCCGGGCCGCGTCGCGACCCGCCCCGCCTCGCTAGGAGCGGCGGTTGGGCAGAAGCGGGGCGAGAAACGGCCTCCGGGGCCCCGCAGGGGCAGCAGGCCGCGCCACTAGTCCAGGCCCGGGGACGCGGGGACGTCGCCTCGGAGCTCGGCCCCTCCCGGGTCCCGCCCGGGTCCCTCCCGGGCCGCCGCCACCCCCCGGCCGCGGTACCTGCACCGCGCGACTGAGGAAGGTGCCCGCGTCGGCCGCCAGCTTCTTCACGTTGAAGTCCATGATGTTCATCCTGGGCGGCAGCCGGGCGGAGCCGCCGGCCGACCTAGCGGGGAGGCGGAGGCGCCGCCACAGAGCCGGGACGCGGAGCGCGGGGCGCGGTAGGTGGAGGGAGGCGGCGGGAGGCGGCGCCAGCTCCGCCGCCGCAGCTGTTGTTTCCGCGAAGGGGGCGGAGGCTGAGGCGAGGCGGGGGTGGGGAGCGCGCCCGGGAGCGGGTCTTGACCCCGGACACCGCCGCCGCCGGAAGAGCGGCCTATCGGATCCGGAGAGCCGCCGCTAACGCCGACGCCGGCCGCGGAGGGCGGGCGAGCGGGCCCCAGGCGGGCGGGCGGGCCCCCAGGCGGGCGTCCCTGTGAGGTGGGGCTAGCCCCCGACACAGGAAGCCGGGGCCGGCACGGGGCGGGGCCTCCGGGAGGTTATCGCGAGAACAGCGACCCCTAGAGGTTTCCGACGGCTGAGCCCGTGGAAGCGCCGGGAGCTCCGCCCCGCCCATTAGGGGACCCAGAGGGCGTCGCGCCGCCACTGCCACTCGCCTTCCCAGGACGGGTCTGCGGCCCGGCACGCCGGAGACGTCGTTCCTCGGAAATGACAGCACAGAAAAACAGCATCTATGAAATAAGAGCCAGCGGACCCTGTCATCTTGTAGTAGCGGTAATATCTCACCGGCCCCCGAGGCCTGTTCGTAGAATAGGGTTGAATTGATGGTTCGCGCTCAGCACGGACCTACTGTGTGCCAGGCTCTGGAGCAGGGCCCGAGGAGATCTTGCTCTCAGTCTCCTTACTTGACCCTGGGACTTACCTGGTGCCTTAAGGAACATCATTCTGGCGTACAGATGAACACCAAGCTCCTACCTGCATAGCACTTTATTTAATAGGATAATCCATAACTGTTGAGCTTGAATAATTTTCACAGCGATGTGAAAAATGGCTTAAACCCTGTCACTCCGAATCACTCTTAAGGCAAAATGTCCTACAGATCCTATGCTTGAAAGAAATCAGAAAGTTTCAAGCGTGGAAGGAGGCATGTTGTTGGTATTTCCAGAATAAGGAAACACTGATGTTTGTGTATGGCGCTACCAACCCGGTGTGAAACAATGGGTCTGGGAAAAACGCAGGCCCAGCCCGCAGTGAAATCTATTCAGGCTTCAGTGTTTTACCTCAACAGAGCACACAAGGGCAATAGCTGTTGTTAAATAGGATGAAAGTCACTATTAAAAACATGAGTAGGACTAGAAAGTAATATATAAATATTTGTGTTGTGATGACAGAAGCATTTACCTCTTTTTAAAGTAACTAGTATCAGAGGCTGTATCAACTCTGAACTATTCCATGTCTTTCATCTCTAATCTTATCTTTCCAGAAAAGGAAATATATAAACACGACTCCTGTTTTTCCATTCATTGGCTCTTTTTAGATTTTTTATGTAGAAAAGCACCACCCTCCCTTCAGATTTCTGTATTGAAAACGGACATTTGCTCATCATGCCTCTATGCCACCATTTTGGGAAATAACTACATTTCTTCAAGTGTTTTGATTTGCCTAGACTTGACAAACAAAAAATCCCAGCAAAACTTCTAATTTTTGAGCTCTTTACAGATGCAATCTTGTTTGCCTTTCTTATATATGTTCTCACCTTTGGAACTTTTTTTCTTTTGTTTTTGCTGTACCCAGGTCTTGAACTCAGGGCCTCCTTGCTTGCTTGCCTTGCTTGCTTATGGCTGATACTTTACCACTCAAGCTGTGCCCTGCCTTGCTTTTTGCTAATTGAAGATGAAGCCTCTCTATTTTTGTTTTTTTTAACTGTATTTTTTTTGTCTTTTGTCTTTTTTTTTTTTTTGTACTGGGGATCAAACCCAGGATGTTGCGCTTGCTAGGCAAGCACTTTGCCACTGGGCTTCATCTGAGCCCACTCTCATCTTTTCCTTAGTGGTTTGGCTTCAAACTATAATCTCCAGTCTCCTGAGTAGCTTGAATTACAAAACTCCCTTGTCTTCACCTCCTATCTTCTATGCTCCTTCCCCCATTGTCAAATATTTCAAAGGAAAGGGGGTGGTATCTCAGGTGTTCTCTTTGAGTAGAACCTCTCCTCTCTTAATCTTAGCTACACAGTAGCATTATTGGAGAATGTAAGCAACCACTGATTCTTGGATCACACCCTGAGTATGGACTGGGCATCTCTAAGGTGATTCTAATACATGTCCAAGGTTAAAAATGAACTCATCATCTTCTAGACTAGAGCTTGTTCTTCCAGTCTACTTTGCCAACAGATCCATTCTGCTTCTCTTACCGAAGGGGAGTCCATTAAAGATGGCAGTATTTCCTATTCATTTTTATATTTTTATGCCTTAGATTCCTAGCAATATTGGCTCTTTAAATAAGTTGTTAGGCTCTTTTGTGATACTACTACCTAAATCTGAGTTTTATTCTTTCTTGTTTGAGACTGGGACTTGAACTTGGTACCTGATGTTTTTGTTCATTCGCTGATGCTCTACTAACTGAACCATGGCTCCAACCCCTAAACCTAACTTCTAAACACCAGATTCAATATTTCCAGTGATCAGACTATTGTTTGCTTTTCCCAAGGGTTAACTCTTTTTTGAGGCTTCTATACTGGTGAATCGAATCATGCATGAAATCCCATAAGCCATAAGTCTAGGTCTCTGTTATTTGCTATTGCCATCTCCAATTAATCTAGTCTTGCAGTTTCTTCTTTAAAATGCTTTTCATCTCTTGGGCTTAAAAAAATTTGAAGCCATTTCAAACTAATAAAAGAAAGAATAGTACAAAAAGTTCTGTAGACACTTTATCTAGAAACCCTACTCAGGCTTCAGCAAATTGTTCCAATGTCTTCAGAGTGAAAACATCCAAGCCAAGATCACATGTTGTACCTCAGTGCCATGTTGCTCAATCCTCCTTCAGTCTGGAATAATTCTTCAGGCTTTTCATACATCCCCATTTCTCCTTTCTTCCCTATAGATGACCGCCACTTTTAAACTGGTATCATTGATTTTGATTGTGTGTTTCTGTTTTCGTAATATATGCATGTATATATGTGTACTATTTTATTTTGTAAAACGACTTTATTGGTGTTACAAATATACTTTTCTAATTAGGGATCAATGCTTTTATCTGCTGAATTATTCTTTGTGAAATAATTTCCCATGTCTTACAGTTCTTTTTAATTGATTTACATTCCACTATTGAAAAATGTTTCATATATCAGAAATTCTAAGGGTATCACTTGCCAGTGAGAAATTTTGATATGAAATTCTTTCTTGGGTTAGAAGTTACAAGATCACTCAGATGTCTCACATTAGAAATTAACGATACTTATAAAATTTCAGGGGAGAATTTTCCTCATTTCCATGTGATAAAAATGCTTCCTTCCAACTCACTGAATGGATTTTATCTATTCTGGCCTTTCACTGAGAGTTTCGGATTTCATAAGTTTTTAATTCGTGTATGTGTGAAGCCAGTAAGTGGACTGGAGTCATTCTTAGTTACTGAGTCTGTTTGTTCAGGCTCTGCCTCCCATCACCATGTGAGGATTTAAAAACTAATTTTTAAAATTGCTGAATAATGGCCGGGTGTCAGCTCACGCTTGTAATTCTAGCTACTCAGGAGGCTGAGATCTGAGGATCACGGTTCAAAGCCAACCTGGGAAGGAAAGTCCATGAGACTTTTACCTACAATACACCACGAGAAAACCGAAAGTGCCACTGTGGCTCAAGTAGTAGAGCGCTGGCCTTGAGCTGAAGAGCGCAGGGACAGTGCCAAGCCCAAAGTTCAAGCCCCATGACCAACCAAAAAAAATATATTTATATATACTGAAAAAGGAAGTGACTCAAGTGATAGAATGCTCACCTTGAGCGAAAAAGCTTAGGGACAGCGCCCAAGCTCTGAGTTCAAGCCCTATGACCAGCAAAGAAATTAAAACAAAATAAAGAATAAAATAAATTGCTGAATAAAATCTGTATATAATATGTTAATATTTTGAAATATGTATATATTGGAATGACTAAATTGAACAAATGAACATGTATTATTTTCACCTGAAATTTTTATGGTTAAACACTCAAAAAGGCACATTCTTTATGCATTTCAGAAATATATTACATTATTAGTAGCTGTAGCCACCATGTTATTCAATAGCTCTTCACTGGTTAATTCTAGTAACTGAAATTTTGTATACTTAAACCAACATCATCTAGCCTCTACTTCTCTTGCTCACTAATCACTATCAGTCTTGTTTTGCTTCTGCCAGTTCCTGTTTGTGTCTCTTTAGATTAGATTCCATACATAAATGAGATCAGACATAAATGAGGACATATGGTATATGTCTATTCCTGCTTTACTTCATTTAATATGTTGTTCTATAGGTTTATCCATATGGTTATAAATGACACTAAACTAAAATAAACTATGTATATGTGTGTGCATTTATTTTTGGCAGTACTAGGGTTTGAAATCAGAGCTTTGCACTTGCTTGGCAGGTATTCACTACTTGGTCTATTTACATTTTTGGACCAAGTCTTGCATTTTTGTCCTGGGACAGCCTTGACCATGATCCTCCTACTTATACTTTTTGTAGATGGCATCATAGCCTTGGCCTACCATGCCCAATTTTTTTTTGCTGAGATGCTTGGGCTGGCCTTTAACCAGAATTCTCCCTCCCAAGTAAATGGGATTACAAAACAGAGTCATTCCATCCAGATAAAAATATTTTTAAAGCAGATATGACACTAATCTTTTGATGTTTATGGATTGACAGGAATTGTTATTAAATGAGTGGATTATATTATATAATAATATAATTATAAATTGTGTTTAGAGCTATGAAGTACTCAGAAACAAAAAGCCAGAAGTACATCTGTGGCTCAAATAGTACAGTGCTAGCCTTTAGTAAAAGAGCTTAGCGAGGGCTGGGAAGGTGGCTCAGTGGTAGAATGCTTGCCTTGCATGCCTGAGGCCCTGGGTTCGATTCCTCAGCACCACATAAGCAAAAAGAAAAAAGCCGGAAGTGGTGCTGTGGCTCTAGTGGTAGAGCTCTAGCCTTGAGCTGAAGAGCTGAGGGACAGTGCCCAGGCCCAGAGTTCAGGCCCCATGACCGGAACCCACCCCCACCCCCCTGGGAGAGAGCAAGGGAATGGATGACATTGCCCCAAAAGAAAGAAATGTACTCATTACCTTACTTATGAAATTGTAACCTCTCTGTACATCACCTTTCGAATAACAATAAAAAATATAAAAATTTTAAAAACTAAAAGTGTAAGTTTTCACATTTCTTCAGTGGTCTGTCCCTTGACTTGTCATACTAGTTTTAAAATTTGATGCCATCCTAAGCAAAGAAAAACTAAAATTTTAAATTATTAGCATGAATTTTACAATGCATATTCATATTACACAATGCCAATTTTAAGAACTGAATATGAAAGCTAGACATGGTATACATACCTATAATCCCAGCATTCTGGAGGCAGAGCAAAAGGCTCATGAATTTGAGACCAACTAAGACTATATAGTAAGACTGTCTAAATTAGTAAATTTAAAAAAATAAAATGCACACATAAGGATACTTTATGTATGCCTAGCCATTAAAATTGCAGATTATGTTTCATAGTGTCTATATGCATATGTGTTTGTTCTCACCA